GTCTCAAAAAAAAAAAAAAAAAAAGCTCTTTAAACGAAAATGCCTTTGTAAACATCAACTGTATTTTTCAGCTGAATTTACATTCTTCACCAAGTAAATGTAATGTAAATCATTGGGGTATTTTGAATATAGGAACTTAATTAATCTTGTACTAGAATAAAGAATGTAAAGGGATAAAGCACAACACACTTTAGAAAAGAGGAGTAAAAATGTTTATGAAACAGACTTATTCTACACATTAAGGTTTCCTAATGGTCATGGAATTAGATACTTTTAGACTGTTGATAGGCTCTGTATGTATTTTTTACTAATTCATTTGGCAAAACTAGAGGTTGTGTATTGACCTTAGTCGTCGAATCTTTCTTCAAGTTGTTATATCAGTTGAACTCTGAGTACATTTGTAAATTTGAAGGACACGCCTATGATTTGCATTTTAGTGCGTTGAGGGCACTTTCCTACACTGGCACGAGACAAGTTTTGGCAACAGCAGGAGAGTAAAAGGTAGCAAGTGCTCAAGTTTTACCTTGAGAAGAAGTTCTCTTTTCTTAATTTCATTTTTCAGAATGGTTTTTGTACTTCTAAATAATTCATCAGTAGATTAGTAGATTTTTGTGTATATTATTTGCTGTAAAACTTTTTGTTTCCATTTCTAACTCGTTTTAGGTAATTTTGAATTGCTCTGCATTACCCTGTCTCTTACATTTATTGAGTAGTCCAAAGGAGTCAATTAGAAAAGAAGCTTGCTGGACTGTTTCTAACATCACTGCTGGAAATAGAGCTCAGATTCAGGTAAGTAAATTTCAGATCTGAAAATAGAACAGGAAGATCTAAAGCCATTTTGGACAAAAGTCAACATTTTATGAGTGATGTTTTTCATTGAGTTACTAAAAAAGATTCTTTTAGAAAAGAATTCCTGATAAGTATTTTTAAAAATATGGCCTTTTCTCCTCTAAAATAATAACATTTACTTATAGTATTCTAGTGAGGAATGGCAAGTGTGTGTGTGTGTGTGTGTGTGTGTGTGTGTGTGTGTGTGTGTGAATGCCTGGCACAGTTCCTGTCACACAGTGGTTAGTCTTTAAAAAGGAATTGTTTTTCATTAGTTTTAGATAAGTTAGGCAGTGATCTTCTCTCAAAGCATTTAATGATTTATTAGGATCCTGTCAAGCTCCTTGTGTCAGTTATCACTTATCCATCTTGATCAGTCTTATGGCCTTGTGCTTTATCATCTTTAAAATTTATATTCTGCTATTATCTTCTCTAGTATTTAAAAAGCTAATTTCCTTTTTAAAAAAAGGAAAGCGTGTGAAAGTTTGTTGACAGATTAGAAATAAAACAGTTGCAAAAGTATTTCCAAAAACCCTGACATTTTAAAGCCACTGAGTTTCAAGACTCCTCTACTTGGTAATATTTTAGAAAGAACGTTTGTACTAATTATGCTATATATCATTTTTCCTCCTCTCAGGCTGTAATAGATGCAAATATTTTTCCCGTTTTGATTGAGATTCTTCAGAAAGCAGAGTTTCGCACCAGAAAAGAAGCAGCGTGGGCTATAACTAACGCAACATCAGGAGGCACTCCAGAGCAGATAAGGTGTGATACAGGTTTTTAAAAATTATTTTCTAAATGTAAATGAGACAAAATTTGAACTAAAACATACTTTTTGTTTAC